AGATTGCAGAAAACCACTCAAAAAAAAAAATTCAAAGAATATCAAAAGAAATTTAAAAAGTTTTTTTTTTTTTTTTAGTTTATCAACCTTTTGCAGATTATTTAAAGCTAGAAAATACTTTTGGATTTTAAAAAGTTTTGGTGATAATGATTATTACTAATATTGCCATAAGCCTAGAGGCACTTGGTCTCAATGAGAGGAATTTTCAAAATGAAGTGAAGAAATTTAGTTTGTCGAGGAATTTCAATAATATTTATATCATAAATAAAAATGTGAAAAAAAAAATTACAAAATGACAATTTAAAATTGGGGAGGAATTTCAGAAACTTGGGATTACAAAGGGAGGAATAAAAACTGATTCTGAAAACCATTATTTTTGAAGAAATATCTTCAGATTTGAATTCACTTTATTTTTTCAAATAAAAGTGAAATAAAAACAAAAAAGATGCTTAATGGCTTTTTCATTCTCCATGTAATTCAAGTTTTTCAAACTTTTCTTACAATTATTTAATGAGAGCAGCTTTATTTCAATTTTATGGAGATTATTATTGAAATTTTCTTTAACTGGAATTAAGTTTGAAATTCTACTTCAAAAATGTAGATTCAAATATCAAATTCTTAGGCACATTTATAGGATAACTAGCCGTGTGACCTGTCTTTGACTGGGTGTTTCATTACTGGGAATTTTTGCCATTCAATTAGAGCAGTTTAAGTTTAAAGTCAGCCCACCTGAAAATCAATATTAGTAACAACAATTAGGTGCAACTGAGGCACATCCCCAAATGGGGGGGGGGCATTAACAGTTTGAATGGGGGTGGCCCTGAAAAAGGCCGTTTTTGCGTTCTCAATCTTGCAAGGAAGAAACCTCTTCCATGGATTGTCATAATAATAATATACGATAATTTTTATTTATAATATAAATTTTTTTTATAATTCTAATAATCTTTTGCATTTCAACTCTCTAAACTGATTGTATGCTGTTTTTTACAGTTTTTCGATTTTTCACCTTCAAAGTTGTAATTTTTTCCAGCCAATTTGGACGCAAAACTGGCACTGAGGAATTATCTATCAAACAAAAAAAAATTTCATCAAAATTGGATGAAAACTGTGGAAATAAACAACATCCCTTCACACATACACATTTTGAGAATTATAGACAGAGATAATTACTAATAATTTATAGGATAATAACTTATAAAAGGAAAAATAGATACTAACTTATTAATAAGATAATAACTTATAAAAGAATATAGTTATTATTATAATTAATTAGTTATATTAATAATTAATAATATTTTTAATTAGTTAGAATAACTATAATAATATAGTAAGATAATAACTTATAAAAGATAATGTTAGACAAGAATAATGTGTCGCTGTTGACACTTGAGTTTGAACATAGATCACCAGTGAGCAAACACAGGCGATCCCATTATTGAATTAAGTAGACCACGTGACCATAGAGGAAACGCATAAGTAGCAATTAGCTAAACGAATAATGATTGCTATTCTAGTTTATCCTCTGTTACTGACGTACCGCTATTCTCTATCCTATTTCTTTATTCGGGTCACTGTATGAAGTGCTTTTATCGAGCAGCTCTTATTAGTATGATTGCTATTCAAAAGCATCTGACACCAGTATTGTTCAATGGTATACTATAGTTGTAATCTGCGATTATAAAGTCTCTACTACAACGAGCATTACAAAAGTGACAATGAGTATTCATTGACATCACAAAAGATAACTTATAGAAAAGAAAAAAGCTCCTGTCTTTAGACTTCTGATAACTTTTATTACATCACTTCAGTTTTTTTGTTTTGTTTTTGTTTCAAATGTTCTTACAATAATGTTGACAATTCTCATTGAAAAGACGCACATCCTTTCCAATATCAAGAATTTAGGCTTTGAATTACACATGAGTTTAGTTTGGTTATTTTTGTTTAATGGTATATCAACACCTTTATGGGTTATTTTATACTGAAATCTAAATATTTTGTATGCAATTTTATGGCTTTAGATGAATATATTTGGAATGCATTTTTAAGTCTTCAACTACAGATGTTTTCTACATAATTTTATACTTTCAGTTGGTTGGTTGGTATTGTTTAGTGGTATATCAACTCCTCTATGGGTTATTTAATGCCAAAATCAAAATATTTTGTACGCAATTTTATTTGAATTATGCATAAAGAATAGTTCAAATAATTCAAAGATTTGTAAATCTTTTGAACTGAGAAAGTATTTTATAGATCTGATAGAACAATATTAGTCCACAAAGTTGCACATGTCTGGCAAGGACCACAATACTGAAACATTTCCAACCTCATTGGGAGTACGACAAGGTGTCTTAGTGGCATTATCACCATTTTTTTTCTTCTTGAAACCTGTTTTTTTTATTGTCCTTTCTCCTCATTAAGTTCTTCTCATTCTCTTTCACTCTCAGTAACCTATTGTGTCTTACTGGCATTATTGCTATCTTCTGTGTTCCTGAAACCTGTTCTTTTATTGTTGCTTCTCCTAATTAAAGTCTTTGCATTCTCTTCCACTCTCAGTAGTCCCTGGTGTCTTAGTGGCATTATCACTTTGCTTGGGGTGAAATAGTTAAAAAAAAAAAAAAAAAAAGTTTTATACACTAAGGTATTTGAAGAATTTAGTATTTACTAATTCCACATCCTGATGGACTCAGAATAGGAGGTATCACTGCTTTCATTCCAATTCTAGATCAGAGTTTCTCTTTTGGAAAAGGTTTATCTTGAGTCCCAGTCTATTTAATCTCTTCTTAGATGATGCTCTGCATATATACATCTACAGATATGAAAAGATGGACACTGATCAGTTAAACATCCCATACCATATCCCAAACCAATCTACTAATATAAATCTACATTCCTGCTTTCCTTCCAAAGGCTGATGATGGGGGACTATGCTGATAGCAAAGGTGGTCATAGTTTGGATAAGGATGATCTTGAACCCAAAAAAAAAATCAACAAACACTGCCAAATGTTCCAAGAACTAGGACTCAAGATAAGTTTTGCCAAAACAGAAACTCAGATCTGGAATTGGAATGAAAGCCTCCTATTCTGAGTCCATCAGGATGTGGAATTAGTAAATAATCAATGCTTCAGATACCTTAGTGTATAAAAAAATTTCTTTTTTTAACTATTTCACTCCAAGCAAAATGATAATGCCACTAAGATGCAAGGGACTACTGAGAGTGGAAGAGAATGAGAAGAACTTAATGAGGAGAAAGGACAATAAAAACCAGGTTTCAGGAAGACAGAAGATGATGACTGACGTTGCATTTAAATTTTTGAAGATCGTAGATAGCAGGGAGGTAAGAAACCAGATGAGAATCCCATAGGCAAGAAGTGTGAGAAAAGAAATTATTAGACTAGAACTTATGGTTACATCTGGTTGCTTCAATAGTAAAATGCTGAGACCTAGTTGCCAATCTAGTCAGTAACTCAGTTAAGTACCATATGTGATACACACTTGGGTAATCATGTATCTCTTGATACATGACTGATGCGGCAGAGATTTTCCCACAGTAGGCTGCCATTTCTTTCTGCAGTAGACTGGTTGCCAACCAAGGCTAAAGAACTCAGTTTGTCCTGTTATTCAACCCATAGGTGAGGGGAGAAGAGATGTGTGCAAGTGAATCTAACAAACTCTACTGGAATTTGAACTTGGCTCTCCAAGTTCTCACTTCAATATCCATTACACCACAATGCACATCCAATCTGGTAGTATGTTTAAATTAATGCAGTCAAGGTACCAACAAGATTATAATGAATTTAATATAGGAGATAAGGATAATGAATATAAAATAGGTTGCACTAGGGTTAGTTTCACCCAACACCACAAGTTGCTACAAAACCAAAATATTAACCTATAAGATATAGTCATGTTCTTAAATAGCTTTGTCGTATGGAGACTGGATGACATGACATTTGTTCAGAAATATCTAAACTGTTAGCAGTATACATCCACTTTCTCAGATTGATGCTTAGACCAGACTTCAAAGCAATTTCTAAAGAAGTGATGGATTTTTATTCATTAATCCCACAGATTTTATTACTTAAACATTGTTTTTACATGATACCCATATTTAAGTAGAAACTCTATTTATTTAAACAGTATATTTATTTTCATTTACCACCCTAAATATTTGAGAAATCTTATTAAAGAAAAGTATGTGCTCATCGGCAGGATACAAACCTGCATCCACCTTGGCAGGGGGAACCGTCATTAGATCCGATGTGCTTTAGACCATCTTGGAGAGGGCAATAAAATTATCTCGAATATTTCAAGTCAGAAAATGGAAATAAGTAAATATGCTGTTTAATAAATACACAGAGCATCCATTATAATATATCCACTAAAAATAATGTTTAATTAATAAAAACTGACTTCAAATGAATGAAATCTGTTAGTCTCAGTGAGAACTCTTTTTATCTGAACCTTGTCGACTGACATGACAAAACAACTAATAATAACAGATATATAACAGTTACTGGACTCAAGAAATTTATTTTCCCAAAAATTTGTTTTAATAGAAAGATTTTATAAATTTCAAGGGAAAGTAGAACTGGCTAATCGTCCACTAAATGCCAAATGTTTCCTTATGAGGAAATGGCTATTATTACCATTAGAAATAAACATTTACAAGTTTCATGTGGCATTTTTATTTGTTTGTTAAAAATTATGTGTTTTGTGAGATTGTTTTAAGTACTGAATTTGAATGCATATATTTTTGAGTCTACAATTTATGTCAATCAAAATAAGATTAAAATTTGATTGATTCTTTTTCTACAGCTTATCAACCCTTTTCAGGTTATTTAAATCCAGAAAATAATTAACCCTTAGCTGGGGGGAGAAGAGATGGATTCATCCCTTTCCTTAAGGATATTTGCACATAAGTGAATATAATAGACCTCACTGGAATTGGAACCCAGTACTTCAGTTTCTAATTCCAAGCCATTATCCATTACATCAACTTTACGGCACATAGTATTCCCAAGTGGTCATCCATCTAGGTATTAACCAGGATCGATGTTGCTTAACTTCAGTGAATCATATGGGAACTGGTGTTTCAATGGAAACAGAAAATTTGTAAGTTTCATTATAAAGCATTATTTACATTATTCAGACTATTGTCCTCATCTTTGTCGCCATATTTATTACAATGTTTCAGCCGTTGTACGCTACAGCCTTCTTCAGGTGGATGGAATGTCAAACTTAACCCTTTATTTCACTCACTGGGGTAGACTGTTCTAGTTCCACGTGCCATGTTTAATGGATGTCAGTTATCAGTTATCTCCTGTTAATTCCCCTCTGAAAGTTCTCCACTGCCTTAACTGGGTATTGAACTCACAAGGACACATTGCACAGTGGATAAAAGTATTGGTTAGATCCAGTGACAGGACCCAAAGAGTGTGAGTTCAATACCTGATTAAGGCAGTGGAGAACTTTCAGAGGGAAATTAACAGGAGATAACTGACATCCATTAAACATGGCATGTGGAACTAGAACAGTCTACCCCAGTGAGCGAAATAAAGGGTTCAGTTTGACATTCCAACCACCTGAAGAAGGCCTGAGCATACAACGGTCAAAACGTAATAAACATGTCGACATATAAGAGGACAATAGTCCAAATAATGTAAATAATGTACATAATACCTCATCTCAGAAATATAGACATTTATTATAAAGATAGATAAATCCAAGCCATTAATGTTGTTTTTTTTTTCTTTGATACTATTAAGACTGATTCTCTATATGAAGTTTGTATTCACTCAACCCCACCATGAGGTCAGGTTGTGACACAAGGTCGGTTTAATGTGGAGAGTCTGAGCACATACACTTGTGCTGGCCTCGGTGCGAGCACTGATCCCTCTCTCTGGTGCAATTAGAGGGTGCAGCCTCGGGCAGCTGTTCCCCAGGACTGGGCACTTCTCAGTATAATTTTTCTCATTTGCGACTCTGTCCTTTGATAGAGCCACTCCCGAGCTCACTCTGTCCAAAGACAAACGCGCAACTGAGAGATAAGTAATGTATTACAAACTACTCAAGAGAGCAATTTAAACACTTCTCTATATGAAGTTAATACCCATTAGTTTTGTTTAATTACTGATCTCTAAACCAATTGACAATAACATCTAAACATTGGTTCTGAAGTGTTTCTGTAAGTTTTGTAGGGTAAAGTTAATGTAGGGACCATTTTGTGGGCATAAAATCTGGCGTCATCTTAACTAACTGCCTTCTGCTTTATTTGCTAGTAAATTGCTTCTAGGCTGAAGTTTCATTATTTTGCTGAAATATTTTTGTGGAGTTCTTTCTTATTGAATTTCAATTGAAAGTGTTGAATGTTTTACATTGTTTTGAAAATTTAAAATGATCTCCATTCTGCTTGTAATTTAATTATTTTTAATGGAAGCTTTGACTAAAAGGCTGTGCAATTATATACATATACTAAATATAAAGATGTGTGTTTCTGTGTATGTTATTAATTACATGTCAAACATGGCATCTAGATACATAAGTAAGTTTTTAGATTAGAAGCAGATTGTTTAATGAAGAAAATAAATGACAAAGACAAATTATTCAAATTGGTCAGATGAAAGAACTTATTGAAAAATGAATGAATTATAAAAAGAAATGATATTTCTAAATTTTATCAGTTTTAAGGTATCTCAAACTTAAATTCAATTCATGAGCTTGATTCCCAAATGAATCCTGACCTCTACACCATGGATATTCTAGTAGATTCTGTGGTATAGGCATTTTTTGTTACTTTGGAATATCTTCTTATTTCAGTGGAAATTGAATGCAAAATATATTGAAAAATAGAAATGTATCAAAGATGAAGTTAGAATAAATTCTCTCTATATTTCTGAGATGAGGTATTGTAATTATTGATGCTATTTACATTGTTCGGACTGTTGTCCTTGTTTTTGTTGCCATATTCACAATATTTAGGCTGTTGTGCACTCCGGCCTTTTTCAGGTGATTGGAATTTTAAACTGAACTCTTTATTTCGTTCACAAGCGTAGATTGTTCTAGTTCTACGTGCCATGCCTCTTCCGGGTTTCACAGTATCGGTTATCTCCCTTTAACTCTACTCTCCAAGTTTTTGTTCACCTCATCTGTAGCCAGGGATTGAACTCACAACTCAAATAGAACTAGAACAAACTACCCCACTGGATAAAATAAAGGGTTCAGTTTGAAATTCCAATCATTTGAGCGTCCTGGTTATGACAATAAACTACATCCACGTCCTGGGTAAGACGATAAACTACGTCCAACATCAAGGCCTCTGATCAGGAGGTTTTGAGGAGTGTGGAACCACTTCTTAATTGCTGGTGTTCCCAGGTCCACCCTGACCCGGGGTGGTAGCACCTGTCAGGGTCCCAGCTATGGGCAAATAGTTGACCCCACAACCTGACTCAAAACACTATGAAAGTGTGAAAATAGATTTTAAAACCAGAAATACTTTTTAAAAAGATTAGTATCAGCAATAAATATTTGAAAAAAATAAAATATTACCAGAAATAAAAATCTTGTCAGCATTAAATAACCCATTGAGGTTAATATGCCACAAAACAAAACAAAACAAACCAAACTATATATTTTTTTAAAAAAAATATTACCAGCTATATATTTTTGAAAAAATTTTTCGGCATTAAATAACCATTGTGGTTGATATGCTGTAAAACAAAACAAACCAAACCAAACCAATCACATGAAGAAGGCTGGAGCGTACAACGGCTGAAACGTCATGAATATGGCAACAAATATAAAGACAACAGTCTGAACAATGTAAATTGTGTAAATAATTAGAATAAATTGTAAGAATTGTCTCAGAATCAAGGAATAGTAATTCTAATGAATTCTTTAAAAAAAAAAAAAAAAAAAAACGGAGGTGATTCAATAACTTGTGATTGTAAGCAAATGCATATCAGATGTGGTCAAATTGTCTGGACATGGGGAAAATCAGCTGATGGAAAATGTCATATTTACTAAGAGTAAGACAATGTTGCAATGTATTTTGTCTATAGATTAAAAGTAATTCTTAAAAACGTCTTAAAAAATCATTAAAAATATCATTTAAAAAAAATATAATGAAAAATGACTTAAAAAGTCATTAAAAAAAAAGTCATTAAAAAATCTTAAAAATAAAAGAAAAGTAGGAAGGAAGAATCAGCCAAGTCTTTTAGTTTTGCAAATATAGAAGAATTGATGCTTGATGTTCCAAAAATCTTATTCTAAATAAAACTTTGTCTAAAGCATGAAAAATAGTGTCATGCAGGGAAGGGGTGAAAATGAAGAATAATTTCATTTATGGGGCTGAAAAATGAAGAATAATTTCATGTATGGTGGGTGTGAAAATGAAGATTAATATCGTCTATAGTGGTGGGCAGAATTGTGACTATATTTTTTTTCTAATTACATATGTGCCTGGTAAAAACTTATTTTTTTAATCATTTCATTCCAAGCAAGGCAATAAAGCCACTAAAACAGAAGAGTATGAGAGAATATGAACAAAAGAAAACATCATTAAGGAGAGAGAACAATAAAAGAACAGGAATTACGAAGATGTAAGATAACGATTGACAATGCATTTAGATTTTTCAAAGATCAAACGTGACTGTAAAGCCAAGAATTTCTTATCTACATTATAAATTCTGAAGCCCTTTTCCTATAAATCTTATTTGGAACAAATCCTCCACTTTAAGTTTAATTGTAAACTTACCTGCACTATTTTCTATTTGAATTAATTTTTGTTTAACTAGTTGGTATTCAGAAAGACATTTTTATTTGCCAATTTGGTTGTGAGATTTGGTATCCTGTTTAGTTTGTTCTTGTTCCGCATGGAGTTTTGCCTCTTTACTTATCTAGTATATTAGCAATTTTTGTTTTTAAAATTTAATCTGTTTTATTGTTGCACTTTGTTTCCCCAGATATACAGAATTTCAATGCATACAACACGATCATGGCTTGAGGAAATTACTCTTCTTCACTTAGTTTGACCGTAAAGCTTGTACATTATGTTATTTTAATTTAGAGAATTATTTAGCAAAGTAAATCCTTGATTCAAAGAAATTTTCAATTGAACTAATTGAGATTTTTGTTCTAATCTTCTGACTGGCCATATCTTTTTCCATCAATAAAAGAAACACACGCACACAAACAAAGCAAAAGTCTAATTGTCTGAAAGTCTTTGAATGATAATGACTAATCTATATTTTTTAAAATGGTCCTGTTTTATGAGTAAATCCTTGCTAGAAAATGTATACTTTTGATTGAAAAGCAAACTGATTTTATAATCTATGTAAAATGTGTCAAAATTATGAAAATATTTAGTATTTTTATATAAGTTTTTCTACAGAACACAAACCAGTTTTCAATTATTATCAAGGAGTTATCTCCCTTATGTACAAAGACGTAACAAAGGGATTTAATAGCAAACATTTCTTTTTATCTTTCACTAAAATATAATTATCTTTCAGATACTAAAAAATAGAAATCGGTCAATATTTTTATTTTTTTTATTTTTTTTTTTTGTTAGTTTTCAATTTTTCTGGTAATTTTTATGTAGTTGTATTTTTAATGGATTTTTTTTTGTGGGAACTAAAAATAAAATGTACTTAATAACCTCAAACTCACATGGTTTGTTTGTATTGGATGTTTTAATGACAATGCTTTCTAAATCTTGAATTGATGGCGTTTACTCTTTAGAAATACCGACGCACTCAATTTTTTTTTTTTTTTACAAGTTAATATAAAGAGCACTGTAGTTTCTAAAAACGAAGCCTTTTTAAGATGAGTGGTTTTATAGTTTAATTTTTTAATATTAAAAATTAAAGCATCACTAAACAGATAAGAAAAAGTTTTTGAAATTTAAAAAAAATCAGTTTTGTTTGGTTGGCAGCCTTTATTTTTTAAATATTATTTTTTATTAAATATTTAATTTTAAGTTTCTAACAATGTATTTGTCCATGATTTGGGTTGAAAAATGCTGATGTATTGATGCCAGTTACAATAGTCTATATTCATGAGGTAATTTTAGATTTCTCTATTAAGTAATTTATATGCTCCGTTAATAAATGCATTCAGCTCTTTTTGTAGATCAGTTTTAATATTTTATATTATTGGGATCCACTTGGCTTATATACCAATGGATTTATTAACTGTACTATATATATATATATATATATATATATATATATATATATATATATGCACTTGTCATACATATAAATATGTTCGAACATGCTGCACTCATTAAAAGAGAAAGTAATTTACTCAGAAGGAAAATCCTTGAGAGTGCTGCCATCAAATCTTATCAAAATATAAATTTACACAAGTTCCCCCCCACCCACTCTTGCCTTTCCTTAAAGAATTACTACTTTCCCATGCCAATATACAAAACAAGAAATATGTTGAAAAATCAAAAGAAATCAGTTAAATCCAACACGTCATGCCTTTGAAGATTTACAACACTTATGTCTGTCTCATACCATAACAATCTAAACAATATTCATTTAAAAAAAAAAAAATTCTTGAATATTACTCACTTACATTTTAACAGACTTTAAATCATGACACTTTGTGTCCTTCAAAATGTTTACTATTTACGTTGCTTGGACTATCATCCTCATCTTTGTTTCGGCCGTTGTATGCTCTGGCCTTCTTCAGGTGGTTGGAATGTCAAACTGAACCCTTTATTTTGCTCACTTGGGTAGACTATTCTAGTTCCACGTGCCATGTTTAATGGATGTCAGTTATCAGTTATCTCCTATTAATTACCCTCTCCAATTTCTCCACTGCCTTAATTGGGTATTGAACTCACACTCTTTGGGTCCTGTCACTGGATCTAACTAACGCGTTTAGCCACTGTACCATGTGTCCTTGAGAAATATAGACAGATTTCAAAATGTTTTGACTGACCTTTCAACTACCTGATGAACATTCACGAACATTCTCAAATTTAAAAGCCTTGATAAACCAATGACATCATGGCCTTTGTATATAAACACATGCAGCAAAGTAAATCCTTCATTGCCTTGATAATGTCCCTCAGTGGACAAAATGCATCAGCTAAGAATATTTCTTCTTATCTCTTTTATTCATATACATATATATCTATATAAAGAAGACTAATTTTAACATTAAATTAACCAACAAGCATTGATATATAAAATCTACCAATTGAATTAATATATAAAATCTACCAATTATTTAACAAGCATTTATATAAAATCTACCAATTGAACACTTTAAAGAATTCACAAGAACACAGTATAGTAAAAAGTATTCTTATTTTTTGTAAATTTATAATTTTTTTTAGCTTTTGGAAAGTAAATTTATTTTCCGAAAGCTAAAAAAATTGTGTTCTTAATTTACAAGAGTATGAAATGGTTACTCTATTATTACACACATAAATACACATAAAATGCATTTTAGTAATAATAATAATAATAATAATAATAATGATAATACAAATCAGTGGCATCTGTCAAAATAAGTAAAATTATTAGAATTTAACGTATTTCAAGGTGAGCAGAATTTTTATTAAGAAATTGCTCAACAGGAAACTAGAGTGATAATTTAATAAAGGTTCCAATGTCTTATCACTCTACAGACTTCAAACTTTTGTAAACACACCACTCATCAGTTGTCAGAAAAAACTATTGAATTATTAGCAGATTTCATATTCTATACAAGAAATGTTAATCATAGTCAAAGAAACTATAAATTTGTACTATGCTGAAATTCATTAAAAATCTGACATTTAAATATTAAGCATCATTGTAATATGAGTATATCAAAGCTTAAATGTTTCAGATATATTATTAAAGAAAAAGTGAAACTGCTGATGGAACCAACAGTCTACTTGCCAAAATACCTATATACCATTAAACAAGATAAAATCAAGGCAAACACCTACCTAATTAGTAAAATGCTCCACACCTAGACTACCTAGACACAGCAAAAATGCTTGACTACGTTAATTCTTATGAATGGATGATCCTAGTTGTAACCTGAGTTTCATGCTCGTGTGATCTTCAGATGACTTAAAAGATGTGCTACATATGGTTTTTGAATTCAGAGTTGTCCTTCTCCTAGACTAGTTGCCAACCAAGCCTGAAGAGCCCAATCTGTTCTACTATTTAACTTATTGAATGTAATGAACTGGACTAGAATATGAACTTGGATCTCTGATTTCTCAATCTGAGCCACTCTCAATTACATCACCTGGACATTTTTGTAAAAAAAAATTTAGAAAAAAAAAAAAAAAGAAAAAAATCCCAGCAAATTCACCAACGGTCACATCATTCAAAATATTAGACAGACTTAAACTATTGTAATATTCAAAATTATTGATTATTTAATTATTTTAAAAATACTTAGTTAATTATTTTTATTTTATTTTATATTACTGACTCCAAGCAAATATCAAACCTATTTCATACTATAATCATAATATTTTTATAATAAGCTATTTTTTAGCATTTATATAGAAAGATAAAACATTGAGAAATCCAGTAAATATTACCAACAATAATGAACTTTATAATGTCTATATTTCATTAAAGTATCTGTTATATTTTCTTTCCCTACAGGACTGTGGCATGCAGTTAACTGATGAACCAGACAAGCGTTGCTATCCGTATCAAGATATACTCCTCTGTCGCAATTGCCACATCAAACGTCTCAATAAGCGCTACCCAGATGAGAAATTCTGTGTTGATCCAGTGACACAGCTTATCAAGAATATGGCCGATGACAAGTCAAAGAACAACAGTGGTGCAAGCTTCCACCTTGGAGGGACTGTGGGTGATTTTGTTCCAGCTACAATCAGCGTCCTCTCTTCTCCTCAAATGAACACTCCTGCAGGTTACCGAGGCTCTTACTGTAGCAACAGTACCACCGGTGGAGCCGATGGTGGTGGTGGTGGTGGGGCTAGCAGTAACCGTAGCAGTGGTATGCACAATTATGGGGTTGATACTGACCAGTACTCCTCTTCGAATTACCCACTGCTGCCGCCGCCCCCACCACAAGGATATAATCAACAGTTGCCAACATCCCCTGTGAAATCTTCTATCAAATACCAAATTACTGAATTGTAACTGCTTTTGGTCAGTTATTTGTACATTGCCATGTGTAGGCTGAGATTATAGATATATGTTTAATAAAGGACAAAAGAAAAATGTTTCTTCAACAGCTGATGTTCAGGGTTGAGAAAAAAAAAATGTTAAAAGGAAAAAAAAGATAAACATTTAAGAAAAGTGTGGACGATTAGATTTGCTGTATGAATTATTTTGCAGATGTCTTTATTTTTCCAAATATTGCTCTAGCTTTCCCACTGGAGTCATAAAATACAAAACTTTTTACTTATTATCCCCCCCCCCACCTTGTTTCAAAGTTAAATCAGTAATCTGATAGTTATTAATTTCTAATTGGCACTAACTAGGGAACACATACATACACACACACACACACACACACATATATATATATATATATATATATATATATATATATATATATATATATATATATAACAAAGTGGAAGAAGTTTTTGTTTGACATGTTTTGTCCTTTAGGACTTCATTGGACTAAGTTTATGTTGATGCGACTATACATGTGCATGAATGAAAGATGTGGGGGTGAGGTAAAATTTAAAAAATAATCTCTCTTATGTGTTTTGGGCAGATAATCTAGGCAATTTCATTTTGATTCTTTTTTTTTTTTTTGTTTTCACCATCTTTGTTGTTATTAAATATTTCACATTGTGATATTTAATAACAAAGATGATGGAAACAAAAAAGAAAAAAAGAATTTAAATGAAGTTGGCTAGATTATCTACTCAAAGCACATAAAAAAAAAATTATTTTTGTAAATTTTAAATTCCCAGCGTTTCTTGTTAGTGCATATGTGTAATTGCATTAATGTAAACATAAACTTCGCCCGCTGAAGTTCTAAGTGACAAAACATGTCACACAAAAACTTTTTCCACTTTGTCATGAATCTTTCCTCCAAAATTGTTCTTGATATATAAAAATTTATATATCATTATCTTATATATACACACACACACACATATATGTGTGTGTGTGTGCACGCACAATGTTTTTTCCTTAAAATACAAGCTTTTAGAAAAATGTTAATCTAACAATTGTTGTTTTGGTTCAAATAATTGTAATCAACATTTATAAGTATTTAAATTTAAAATTGAAAGAAAAAATTCTTCCTAATTTAAAAGAAAAAAGAAATAATTTTATAATTTTTTTTATTATCTATTTTGACAACTCAAGAGAGAAGCTTATAAAATATGAAATCCATTACAGCATGTACAAGTGTCTTGTTGATAAAGAGTTGTTTTCCTTACAATGGAGTGTAAAAATGTTGATTCAGTGCAGGCTGGGGTTGGTTAAATGTAAATTTGGAATCCTGCTAAAGATGGAAGTTAAAATGCGGTTTGTATAAACTTGTGAAAGTTAGCAGCCAATTGTTCTGTTATAGAAAAGTTAATGGACAAATAAATTAGCATTTCTCTTGTTTTCTTTATCCCAGCTGAAAAGGCAATGAATTATTTAAACTCTTGTTTAGAGATCTTTAAGGAGAGTTGTCTTATGAACCAATAAGTAGAGTTATTTAAAAAAACAAGCAAAAAACTTGAGAGGTTTGATCAGTTTTATTATTAGCAATAAAAAAAAAATGAAGTTAATGTATTTTTGAACAAACAAATTGGCTTCTGATTGTAAGCAAAAGGATGATTGATTTCAGTCTTCAGTGAAATGTCCTGATTGTTTTTGGTTACTTTTCAAACCATCCTATCGTCTTACCAAATTTATAAATATAAACCATTGATCCTAACAAACTACCCCACTACCTGTCTACACAGAACAACTCAATGACTCATTTCTATAAAATTAAACTTTTTATTCATAATGCTTGCCCCCCCCCAACTAAATGTTGCTTAATAACTACAAAATGCTGATTTACTCATCTGTTTTTCCATTTAATCTCTAAACCAGGTGGAGATATACTTTCTTGGGGCCATAGTCCTTTGGAAAGGACCTCTTCTTAAGTAGTTCATCAGTTAAGCAATACTCAGTACAATTAGTTCTTGTATGAGTAACCATTTAAAAATACTTTAATCTGAAAACAATAGAAGCATTATAGTAAGCGTAGAAATGGATTTTGTATTTCTCATATATGGGAATGAACTGATTTTTAATCCTGTTAATATTACTTTATAGAAACTCAATAAACTTGAAATTATAGTAATTTATTAGATATTTAAATTTATTAGATATTTATTAATGGAATTTGTGGTGGGTGACGACAATATTGCAATCACATCAAATGGCTAATGTATTTTGTCTGCTTAAATGGTTATTTGTTTAGTCAGGGTAAAAAAAAAATAATAAAGTTGTCAATAAATAATTATATTATATTTAAATATCTATTTCTCGTACACCTTTATATACACAGACATTAAAAATATTCTTTTTATAGCAAGTAATTAAAATGAATAATAACTATTTCCTATCTGAATGTTTTTATGTAAATTTGGTATGGTTGTGATTCCATGTTGATTATCACCAAAAGAGTTGAATGAAGCCTCATTCATCACAATTTTTCTCCCCTTTAAAATCTCATTTGATACACACTATCCTGATTTAAAAATATTGATCTGGATTTTGTCAGAGAATGAGTTAGCCAAGGAATTGGGCCACCTTTCTATTCACTAAATAATTGAATCTCTTGTCCATTAGAATAAACGTTGTTTCTAGACAGTGAGGATAAACTTCACAAATTTAAAAATATGTTAAGGTTGAAATTAATTGTTAAAAAAAATTACCAACAGATAATATTCTATTAATAATAGTTTTGTTAATATTTCAGTGTTTATTTACACCATTCTCAGAATATCTGTCTATATTTCTGAGATGAGGTATTGTAATTATTTACATTGTTTGGACTGTTGTCTTCCTCTTTGTAGTCATATTCACAATGTTTTGGCCATTGTATGCTTCGACCTTCTTCTGGTGACTGGAATTTTGAAACAAACCCTTTATTTTCTCCACTGGTGTAGATTGTTCTAGTTCCACATGTCATGCCTCTTCTGGATATCTCAGTTTTCAGTTATTTCTCTTTACTAAGTCAACTCTCTAAGTTTTTTTTTTTTTTTTTTTTAAGTATGTTGATTGAAGTAATCCAGTGACTTGAACCAAAGAGATGTGAGTTCAATACTTGGCCACAGAAGAGGTAAAAAAAAAAAACAATTGGAGAGTTGAGTTACTAAAGGGAAATAACTGAAAACTGAGATACCGGGAAGCGGTATGTCATGTGGAACTACACTCTACCCTGGTGGAGGAAATAAAGGGTTTGCTTTGAAATTCCAATCACCTGAAGAAGGCTAGAGTGTACAATGACTAAAACATTGTGAATATGACAACAAAGATGAGGACAACAGTCTGAACAATGTAAATTCTAAGAACAATAACAAAAAAAGGTTGTTTCCAGCCAAAATTTATTTATTTTCCAATGTTTATAGTTTAAGAATTGTTTAACTGAAAAAAAATAACTTTCTTAGGTTTTATGAGTATTTAAAGCTTTTTACTTGCAACAGAAACCAAATTTGAATTGACAAATCTAACTCAGGAATGGTGTTGAGTTACAAGAAATGAAAAATTAAAATTTCTAAAAGTCGTGTCAATAACAATAAAATTACTTAGATTGTTCTGACAAAGCTGTCACACATTTAGAGGAGGAGAATTGTTATTCTTTAGAAATCATTGTCAAAGATGTAATGTTTTGGGAGAAGCAAGACACCTTCTTTTTCTTTTCTTTTTTTTCCAGTTCTACTCTTTGGCTGTGGACTAACATTTGAACTTTTGTGTCAGCTCTGGTCTGGAAAGGGTTAGAAATTGGTCATATTGTACATTTGTCTTTCTCTGCAATGATGTGTATATACAATTTAAGAAGGGTATCTTTCTTTGTTTTCCTTAATTCTACATCCTTTTGATTCCAAAAGCTACCCGATCTTTTGATCATACGTTTGCACAAGATGAGGATGTAGATATTTCAGTTTGAGTATAAATTTGATAAATTAAAATTTAAAAAAAAAAAAAAAAAAAAATTGACAATGCAAAAACATTTTTCCACATGAAAATGAATTGTGAAGTTTTTGGATACTTTCTTTTTTTTTCTTTTTTAAAAATCAGTATCACCTCCAAGCAAGGCAATAAAGCCACTAAAATGCAAGGGGTTACAGGTTGTGGAAGAATTAGGATCCCCTTCAATTAATTAATCAATTCTTTCTTATTATATTCACGCATTTGTTCAGACCAATAAACTATCCCCCCACTTTTGTTGTTTACATATTTGACAAACAAAGTGGGAGATCAGTTTTGTTATTATTTAAGTCTTAAACTGGTCCCTCACTTTGTGTCCTTTGGGGTGAGGGGGCGCAATGATAAATAAATAAATTGCTGGTAGCTATTATAATTCTTAGAGGTCAAGTGTCAGCCATATTTATTCAAATATTCTCATCTTGTAAATAAATCTACTAAAATAAGAAGGTGGGTTTAGAAATTATTTTAGGTCCAACTGATATCCGACATTCAATCTTATGAGAAAAACAAAATGACAATTCCTGGTGGAAGAAAAAAAAAAAAAAAAAACGTTTAAGTTTGGAAATCAATATTTGTAGAAGGCAAAGATTCCCCCCAGCCCTCAAATTTGTAAATATGATTTAAGTCCAATCCCAGAGACTTGTATCTATTTTTATTATTAAATTATTATTATATTTTTTACTGCTACAAATTTAACTGTACTATCAAAAAATTTGCACTATTTAAGTAATTTTGCAATTGCGTTCGTTATATTTTCTGCTAGTTGTCACCTGAAATTTGTATCTCTACAATTAACTCGATTGTCACATGTAAGAAAAAATTCTGCTTTTTAAATCATTAAAATATCTAAAGCAAACTGACATTAAATTAAAAAAAAAAAAAATGTATTAGTAATCGATTTCCCCTACTCACTAATGAGATATTCCATTATGGAATTTTTGTTTATTAACATCAAGTAATACTTCCATTACAATGGAGTATCT